CTAGATCACATTCCCTTAATTTAAAGCCAAACACAAATGTTCGTCATGTTGCTAACAACCATGCATACAAATAGAAATGTGTATTTGCTTCTATCTCCGGAGGACAGCCCGCTCCCAGAAGTAAAAACAATGTAATATGGAAGACACAAGAATTAATCCTTTAATTTAAAATAAATAAAAAATTGGAAATTTGAAATTGCTACCAAAACCTATTTTTTAATAAGCCTTTTTTTTATGTTTCATTTCTAGATCAAATTTTTCTTTCCTTTTAAACTTCCATTTACAAAATATATTTTTTGATAGCAACTATGATAAGGACAGAATTCACAGCATAGATGGCATACAGTGAGACTATGCACCTTTAAGATTTTATATTTAGCATTTTCTGCCTCACTAAAGAAAAAAAAATCTAATGTCAAATTACACAAATGTTACTTTTTTTTTACACATCCGGCGTCCCATACAGGAGCTCTATCGAGTTCTCAAGGACTCGTGCGCCTTTAAGCCTGTAAGACAGACCAGACAAATGTAGACCAGCAGAATCAGCAGCAGATATAAACAAACTCAGCCGCAGGCTTCTGCCCAACACTCTAAAACCTGAGAGAAACGTCTAAAACACCCAGGATCAGTTAACCATGCTCCATGACTGCTGCTGTGTTCAGCCTCTCGCTGCCGAACTTCCTGCAGGTCAAACAATCGGAGCCTCACAGTGAAAGGATACGATGGAAGCAGCTGATCGGTCCAGGTGATTGATCACCATTCGGAGTCTGTCCGCAGATCGAGACATCTTCTTTCTTTGAGTCCTCAGAAAAACACAAACAGCCGCTGTCTCCGGACTGGAGTAAAGGTAGCGGGAGTGACGTCACACGCACGCGCAACGTCATGCAGAGCGGACTGAGGCCATCTGTGGGCAGCTTCTGGAAAACTGGGTTTAGATAGTTTATTACAAATACATAAGCTCACTGACAGACAGATATAAACAGGGATATGAACGTGATGAGAAAATGTATCTGTTAGAATTAAGAAAGACTATAAGAATTTTAAATTAAGTTTTACTTAAATATATAGGAAAAACTACAACTTGTAAAGACTTTATTCTTAATAACATGTTTTGTAAACAAAAATAAGGTTAAATAAATGTTGTTATTCCTCACTGTGCTGGTAGAGAGAAAATAAAAATACTGTCTTGGTCTAGTTTTGCTTCCACTGTCTCAGTTTTTATTCATCTATCAGTGTTTTGGATTATGGCCACTGAAAAAATAAAATTAACTGATTTTTAAATATTATTTTAATATAATATGGGGGAAAATCTGAACTATGAGAATCAAAAGTCAGAATTCTGACTTTAATCTCAAAATTCTTACTTTTTTCTTATAATTCTGAATGTAATCTCAGATGTCTGACCATGAAGGAATAGATTGTAGTATGGAAGAGGATTAGGGCAACTGAAAAACCAAAGTGTTAACTGATTTTAAGTTTATTTTAGTATAATAAGGGGAAAAAGATCAGAATTATTAGAAAAAAAAAGTCATAATTCTGAGATTAAAGTCAGAATGCTCACTTTTCCGGTATTATACAAAAACAAAATTTAAAAATCAGTTAACTTTAAAAAATTCTTTCAGTGGCCAATAAACCTAATCCGTAATTAACAAACTGGGCTAGAAAAAAAAATAAAAAAATGAACAAATTCTCTCCGCCTCTTGATTTACCTTCTCTTTTGCTTTGCAAAGAATGTTTATTTTAAATAGAAATTTGTGAGTTGAAATACAAATAATACATTCCAGAAATCAAACTTTGAAAAACGTTATATTCAAAAAGGTTTGAGAATAATTTGTCGTTTTCTAAGATTTGTTGTTTTTTAGATGTTTTATTTTACACTTTATTTTTATAAATTTTATCTATTTATTTATTTATTTTTCAGATAACTGTCACTCACTGAGTTTTACGAATTAAGTTTATTTCAAATTATCAATGAATTGTCACTAATGTCAGCTAATCAAAAGAAATGCGTGTTTTCTAGTCCGTCCGAAGAATAATAATGATAATAATAATAATGATAATAATAATAATATTAATTGAACTTTTTATTGATCTCACAGAAATTTACCTCTGCATTTAACCCATCTACTTGGGGAGCAGTGGGCTGCCATTGTGAGGCACCTGGGGAGCAGTGTGGGGGTTAGGGGTCTTTGCTCAGGGACTGTGGGAGTGGGGCTTGAACTCAGAACCTCATTATTCCAAGCTCCATCCTGGATTGAAATATCATCTGTGCAGCTGCCATCAACGCCTTCAAATATAGACGATAGAATTGGACCTGTTTTTCAGTGCTTAATTAGAAACTTTTAAACCATCTGACTGTGTGATCGGTTAAAGATAAAGTGGAGGATGTTCTTTTTCCGGGTGGATCATCAAAATAAATAGTCCTCATAACTGTCAATCATTCTGGTGATATTTTTACATAAGGCTACGCGCTCGTTCCCATTTTCACTTACTGGTGGTGAGTCTGTAATAGTGGAAAAATTGCAAATCTTCTTTTGGAAAGTAAGCTTGTATGAGCGATGCAAACAGCTACTTTTAAACAGAGCATGAATGATGGAAAATGGGGTCATGCATGCTCTCGCACGCGTTTATTAGGTGTTCCCTTAATGGTGCAGGTGCATGTCCATATTTTTCTAAAGAATCAGGGCGGATCTTTTCAAGAATTCACCAAAATCCCCCATTAAACCCTAAAATGTCTCCAAAGAGTCATGACAGTTGTATGGATTTAGCTTTTCCCTTCACCAGTTTTATTACGGCTTTATATTCATCAATATCCCTGTTGTGCTCAGTAACAGACAAACTAATATAACAACAGGTATATCAAGCATAATTAGTGCTCCATATTTGGTGTTTTACACGACTATAAAAGAATACACTCTCAAATGTGAATGTCAAACTTATTTATAACAGGCCCTGATATAAACCTACCGAGCTGTTAAGGAATAAGAAAATACTACAGCTGTTCTCCACTAGGGGGAGCCACAATACAACGAAATAGAAACCTGAGAGATGTAAAAGGCATGAAAAAAATAAATAAATCCAGCAATGAGAACAAAAAACGATTTATATAGTTAAAAATACTTGCAACATCAACATAAAATGATTATTTTTTAACAGTAAAATGTTTTTGTGTTTCTATGGCTTCATCTTGTAATGTGGGAAATAAAGGTGATTCAGATACATTTAGAAAGGAAGATTAACCCTGATTTAACATAAAATATCTGGACATGAGTAGAACCTAAAAGCTGTTTTACCCTTTCAAGAAGGTGCTTCTTACTCCACCAACATCTGACATTATTCTGAGGATAGTTTCCTCCACTAGTTTCAGCTCTGACAGGTTAGAGGGGTTTGTTTCAGGTCACCACAGAACATTTCAGTGGGATTGATTGGTAGATTATCAATGTGGGGCCAGTTTAATGTTGTCAGGCACAGCTCTGCTTCGGCTTTAATTATATCCCCTCTGTGGCAAACCTGCTGCCCATAACACACTGTTAGTTTTATGCCAAACGTCTCCAGGGAAACAATATTTTTTTTGGCAACATGGGCGGTTCTAGATGGGGGCCAACAGGGGCCAGTACCCCTATAAAACTGATCCTGGCGCCTGTTATAAAGACACAATAATTAATACATTTCTAAACGTGATATGCACAGGAGGGCACCTTTGGATTCTGTTTTATTTATGATTTAAAAATTAAGGTGACCGATTCACTCATGTTGAAATGGGATCACAGTTTAAATCTGCTAAATGTTATTTTGAACAAAAAAAACCCCAGAATACTCTCATTTATTACTTATTAGAAGAATTATTATCATTTATTTTATTATGTATTATACATTATTGTTTATTTTACTTATGATCTAAAATAAGCAAAATATATGTAATATTCCTGAATTATGAATACACCGAACAAACATTCTAAAGAATTGCTTTATTTGATCATTTAATACATATTTATTTAGCAGCTAATTATTTCAGTTACTTTCTTCACATATTTCAGGTAAACTAAATGAATTTCAAGGGAAAAATAAACATTTTCTGTTGGAAAAACATTACATTTCACAAGCAGCTATTTGGTTCTTTGGCTCTTTTATTATATTTTATATGATAAACTATTGCCTTATTTTTTGTTTCATGCATTTCTGTGCTCCCATTAAAATGCATGTTTATGTCCATGTCTAAATTCTTTCTGCCAAACTTTAGCCTTCATCTATATATACGTATTTATTTTAATAAAGATTAATGTTTTATCCTTTTTCAACACAGTTAATTGGAATTAAAGTTATACAGTCTCCATGGACGGTTCCAGAGAGGGGGCAGTTCCCATGTTTGATTGGTATGTATCAAAAATTAAGTGAACAGTCTTTTTTTTTTTTTTTTTTTTTTTTTTAAATAAGAGCAGTTTCCTTTGATTTAAGCAAATATGTAAGAAAATTTGCTCATAGAAAAAAGAGGATTTACCTAAAGAAATGAAACAACTCTATTACATTATTTCAAGTACATAATATTTAATAATCTTATTTCAATTGGAAAAATACTCATCACTTTGGCAGATCATCTTATTTAACTATTCAAATGAAGTAAAAATACTTAATTTGATTTTCACATGCATTTTGCAGTCTAATACTAAATCATTTTCCTTATGATTCATTCGAGCAATTGAAAAGTTGACCTTTAAAATGTACTTAATCATTAGAAATTATTATTTAATGTGCTCGTCCTGCTTTTTTTCTTTTTTTTTTTTTGTCTTCAGTTTTGTCGAACCATGAAAAAACATTGTCTCTATGATTGTAGCAGTGTTTTATTATAAATAGTCTGGCCGGAAACACAATCAACCATCCTGGTGCTTTATTTTGAAACGTCTTAAACAACAGCCGCACTCTTCTTGAAAGGGGCGCGCTTTTATTTTGAAAAGCTAACGGAAGTCGATCTGTCCTCGCGCTAGCAGACGGTAGCTAGCGGTTAGAACCCTCCAGTGTGTGTCGACGCACGGTCCTCCTCCCTCAAGCCTCTTTAAATTGTCTTCACCGCCGAGCTATCGACATTTTTCGGGCACTTCGTCAACAGAAGCTTGTAGCTGTATGTGTGTCCCCGAGGATATTCGTTTCTCCGCCGGAGCCTCTGGAACAGCCCGTTAACACAAGCGGAGGTGTGTTATTTTTTAAAAAGACGCTGCTGACCGTGGTGGGCGGATAAAGGCGAGCCGAGGAGGGCATCCGGCCCTGGCTGGTAACTCCGGAGTGCGGGTTTGAAGGGACTGTATTCAACATTTTCAGGTAAGCGAGCTGAAATGACCTCACATTACCTGTCCGATAATAGACAGTGGCTCTCTACGAGGCTGTGGGCGGAAAAGGACGAAGTGTTGATTTCAGTCTGTGGGATGGAAACGAAGAGGAAACGGTAGCTGAGAAACAATCCGGCCAGCCGATTCAAGGCAGTAACAGGCTCTGTCTTCTTCACACTTCTTTGTGCTCACTATTATCATGTGTTAGTTTGCATTTCATATATGGGAGAAAAAAAAAAATCGAGGCAGGAATGTAAAGAAATACAGTTTTATCATCTGTAACCAGGGATCTTTCTAACTCAGAGTAAACTGGTTCAGCTTTTATACTTAATGCATGGAATGATATCAAGTTTTCATTCAAATGTGTAACTAAATGGGTTAAAAATATCAACCTTTCCAAAAAAAGGTTTCAGCAACACTAATAAAAGTCATTAAAGAGCTTGGAGTTTTGCAGAGAATCCTGGTTTATTTCCATCTTTCCCCCATTTTGCGTTAAATGAACCCTATTAAGGTTTATTAAGGAAATGCAGCTCAGATACAGGCATGTTTTCTGAGCATCAGCATCAGGAATGAACCACCCTGCTGTCTCCCTGGCAACAATGAGGTGTTGTAAAAGGGTGTAATGTTTCCAGAAAGTGCTTCTGCATGGTTGAATAATCTTACTGAACAGTTTTCATCCATCTATATAGATGATAAATGAAAGTTTGTGACTTTCCATCTCCCTCTGTCTCTCTTTCTATTTTTAATATTTCAGTTTGACCTGCATTTACTCCCATCATCCCTTATCTGGAATAAGTGACCACTCGATTTTATGTCTGCGTGGATCTGAATGGGTGTATTGACCCACATTGAGATGTAGACTGTTGGTTGTGGAAGTGATAGACCCCCAGAGGAAATGTAATTACCCTGCTCGACTCTCTGACCTCCCCCTGTCTGAGCACCATATAGCAAAGTTTGTATTGATCAGTCTCTGCTTTATGTTGTGTGTAGCAGCATCATAAACACTCCCAACTAGTTATAGTCAGAGTCTCACTCTGTCATTTGGATCAGAACCTTATATTTACAAAAAAAAAACCCTCAAAACATTGTTGAAGTATGAATAAAGTTCTAAAATGGTTGTAGATTCTGTTCAAATTATACGTAATGAATTTTGTTCCATTATTTTTGTAAGCAAAGAACACATTTTGTAAATAGAAAAAATGCAGTCCAGAAATAAAACTTTAAAAAGGTTTTTTAAAAATATATATGTTTTGTGAGAAACTTCTATAGTTTCTTTAATATGCATTTTTAATTTTTTAATTTAATTGCTTAAAGGGTTTTTAGATTTTAAATTTTCTTGTATTTTTTTTGTGAATTTCTGTTTGAAAATAACCAAATTCATAACGATCGATCTAAAAAGCAGAAATAAAAATAAATAAATAATGCAGAATCGGTAAAAGGAAGAAGAAATATCTAAAATGAAAATATCTTAAAAGACAAAATAGAATTTGAAAGAATAAAATAGAATAATAAAAAAAAAACTAAATCTCAGAAAAGGATCTTGAAAGCTCTTTTTGATTAAAACATGTTTCAAATGTTGATTCCTGGATTTAACATTTTTCAAATTCCGTGTTACAAAGCGTGTTTATGGTTTGTAACAACAATGGAACAACTTCACTCCATAGATTTATATATATTTTTTTTACATCACAACTCTAATATTTTTAGAAAACTGGACGATAAAGAAGTGGAAGCAGAATCCATTATTTTTAGATGACCCTACATAATTATGCTGCCACTACCGTGTTTTAGATGGAGTGCAGACTTGGATCTCTGCATGCTAGTACCAATTTTACTTTAGACCCCTTTACATGGAGACCAGCTGTATCTGCAGAAATATTCAGTGTTTCAAGCATTACTTCAACTTAGATTCAGCTTTTAGCGACAGTAAATCTTAAAATTGGATCCATGAGAGGAACAATGTCTGCAATGGCCTAACTTCTCATCTCTTTGCCGCCATTCTGCGTCCTTCCTGCGTTTTTTCTTGAACTCAAACCAATGAATATATACTACTGTGTCTTTAGTGTTGCTACATGCTAAACTAACTAAAACATGTATGGATTTATCAGATGGGTGGATTTCTATTATCTTATTCAGTGTTGGATCATTGTGAAGTCTGCAGGTGATGCTGACTGAACTTCTGGCCATTCGCCTCCACAACACTGTTGCTTAGGGCAGCCAGTCTGGAAGCTCGCAGCATCTTTCTGTGTTTTATGTAATCCTATAGCTTAGCCATTGTTTTCCAGATCGCAGTAATATAGATGGTCGGCTTTGTGCAGGTTTCAGACATAGCTGTGTGTGTTAGCATGTGTGGCCTTTTTCTTCTTTGGTTCTTTTAGAAAATCCATTAGTCTAAAAGCAGAGCATGCAATCGAGCTCTCAGAAGGAAAGTTCCTCTCTACTAGTGGTGCATATTTTTTGGGCACTAAAAGAAATGCGTCAATGGGCTGGATAGCGTGCACCAACCACTGCTTTGGGCTTCTTGCTCCTTTTATCTGTCTTTGCTGTCCAGTTGAGAGGTTCAGGTGAAGGGGGGCATTTTTTCTTTCAAAGAGGTGCAGCGTCTGTCCGGTTTTGCAACCATATACTTTTTCTGAAAATTTTAGCTTATGTCCTCAAAGCTATGTATCCATGTAATGAAATTTAAAGTCATACTTTTGTTTTTAATTAACTCTCTCGCTATTTGAAAGCTTAGCACAGTCGATATCTTGCATGCACTGCAGGGTTAGTCCCGCCGAGACAAAACATTAATTTAAGAAATATCATCTTTGTTAAGATGATAACAAAACTACGTTTTTTGTTTTTTTATATGCATGGCCCCATGCTGGATTTCAGAATGGCAAGAATGCTCCAAATGTCTCAATGTCTGTTGACTTTTGGAGCGACAAATGTTCGACTTTAAAAGGTTAGTAGCTTTCCATTTTTAAAGCAACACTGCAATTTTTAGGAGTGCTAAACCTGTAACTTCCAGCTTAAAGGTATGGTGGAGGATTTTTTTTCTTTTTCCAGGTGGATCATCAAAATAAGTGGTCCTCCTAGATGTCAGTCATTCTGGTGTTATGTTTACGTAAGACCGTCCTGCATACTCGTCCTCAGTTAGCTGTCTTTTTCTGTGCATGCGCACTTTTATGTGTCAGGCTACGGTTTCAGACAGTCAATGAAGCTCGCCTTTCTCACCGCAGTCCTTTGAAAATGGCCATGAGTCCTAAGAGGAAAAGTGTCTATGAAGGTTATGAGAAGAAGAGAAATGCTTCAGAAGAGAGAAACAGGACCAGGTTATTTTTGGGAGATTCTTTAATGGCGTACACTGAAAGCACAGGTCGTCTCCCCACGATGCCTCGTTTTGGAGAACTCCATTTCACATCACTGCTAGTAAAAATATCTACCTCTGTATGGTAACTTTTCAGGGAAGATAAGTTCATTTATTTAGTAATTTTCATCGTTGGTATTTATACCATGGCCAGAGATCCTTATTTACCCCGCAAACATCTCCAGATTTCCACTGCAGCACACACACATACAAGCATGCCATGATTTTTTTTATTTACCAGTAGTCTTATTTGCGGGGAAACCTTTTATATATGAATATGGGTGAGACGAGATCCATCCGAGCGACCGTCTTAATATTGCGTTCCTGCACCTCCTCGAGGAGAATGGGCTCGTGGATGCTCTGGCTCACGTTTTAATTGGCGTTCCCTCTAGGGAGCAAGTACAGGGATGAGCTTGTGCATTTTTTTTTAAAGGGGAGAGGATGGGTCATTTCAAAAATTCCCCAAAATCCTCCACTATAACTTTAAGCTCCCCCGAAAGCAACTGGTGAATGTATTGCTTTAATGTTTCCCATTAAGTGGAAGGTGTTCAGTCTATCAGTCCAGAGAAACAATATCATTAAAAAAGTAAGCAAATAGAAAACCCTTCATTTAAATAAATAAAACTTCTTCTGCTTTTCCTAAGCAATACCTCTTAGTGTTAAAGTTGTTAACGAGGGAACCAGACTCAATGTTGTGTTTATAAAGGATTTCAGAGGAGGCAGAAAAGCTGTGAGTATTGATTTGTTTCATAGATGGTGTTTATTACTGGCAGCTGATGCCGACAAAATTGCTCCTTCACTGTTTGGTTCTTCTGTGGCTTCGATGCTTTTTAGGAGGTTATTTCGTCTCCATCTTTGGAGGTTATTTAGTAACATTACTGAAGGGATTCAGTGATCTTAGATAACAGTTTTATGCTGTTAAACTTTTAACCTACCTTATATTGAAATGTTTTTCTTTCAATTAAAGGTTACCACTCATTATTTTGTCTTTGTTTAAATGGAAAAAACTAACAGTTTTACAAAAGACTCCATCTTAGCTGATATTTTGCTCCTCTAACTAAATTACCGCACACCGCAGGAAGGCTAGAGGGAAAAATTAAGAGCGCTTGTAGTGTTTCGAGTTGGCGGGTCGTATTTTGGATCACACACTTTAAGCCTGTTTATGGGCAGCATGTCCATCCCTATGATGAGCTACACTGAACTGAATTTGAGTTGTAGTCCGCTCCCCATCGGCCTTGTCAAAGCTGAACCACTTCCATATAATAGATGGAGGACAAGTCCCTTTTCTCGGTACCAACTCTTCAGATTGGGCAGCGGCCATGGTGTGAATAAACAGTGCAGCATGATATCAGGCGGAAGAAGGATAGGGACAGAAGCAAAAGCACAAGTAAAAAACGAAGGAGAAGATACTTTCTTGATATTACGATTAAGCAAAATTTCAAAATCTAATTCATTTAATTTATTGCCCAGCCCTAGAATAAATATATAAATATTTTGCATTTAAGATAAAATAAAAACTTTTTTGTCTGTCAATATGCTGTATGCAGAACTCCAAAACTGGAAAAGTTTTAGTTTCAGCTGGTTTAATTCTGTAAAAAAACAAAAAACAAAAAAAAATGTTTAAAGAACAGTTCACTACCCGA